CAGACATGTAAATGGCAGAGTTTTGACTATCAACAATCCCAGAACTCCCTGAATAAGAGTAGAACCAATTCATCTTTAATCTCAAGGACTGTCAAAGAAGAAGAATTGCGGAGAAATATAGGAACAGGAGTAGACCATTCAGCCCCTCGAGTCTGTCCCACCTTTCAATGAGATCATGGCTGATATCGGGCCTAACTCCATGTACATGCCGTTGGCACATATTCCTTAATATGTTTGCTTATCAAAAAATTATCTATCTCACATTTAAAATTAACAACTGATCTTATATCTATTGCCATTTGTGGAAGAGAGTTCCAAACATCTACCAACTTAATTCAGATAGACATATCGATAAGTTATCCTTGAAAGCCCAACTATGTTTGAATCTGGAACTAACTGCACAGATTAAAATCACAACTGTTTACAACCTGACATAGTCAACATATTTCTGGGCCTGGAGACCTACAGGGATGTACTTTATGGAAATGCTGGACAGCCAGAGAGATATCATGTGGCCTGCTTTGGGGAAGGGCACCAGTATCAGGCACTTACATGGCTACAGGCAGGTTTTCCTTTGGATCGAGGACTCTGGGGCCAGAAGTCTCACTTACCAAAAGCTGCTAGCCAATCAGAGACCAGTTGCTCTTTTGAACAGCCGCCAGAATATTATTTTATCTCACAGTATACCTTTAAGAAATCTGCTCATGACACCATTACTGTATCACTGTATGTGTTCTCAGAGGATAATGATCTCTGTTTCCACCTTATCCTGAGTACGCTTGAAGCATGACACTCTACTGGAAGCATGCTGCTCTGTTATACCTAAAAACTTAATGTTAGCCCAGACACTTCTGTGCCTGTGAATATAGTACATGTGCCTAGTTTCTAATGTTATGAGGGATAACATTGCTGCATTAGGTAAAAACACCTGCTAAAGGCAAAATCAGGCCAAAAACTACCGGTATTCCAGGACCATGGACCAACCCATGCCACAGATAAGTAAGGAGTGTCACAAAAAGAGGGAGTGTACAGCATGTCAGTAACAAGGGCACAGAGGTGGGTCTCAGTAAGGACTCCCTTGCCCAATGCCATGTCCCTCTACCAGAGGCTCAATGCCTTTGAACAAGGAATCGAGCCTTGCTCACAGGAAAACAAAAGAAAAATTTTATCTGCTGGGTCAATCACTGGATTAATACTAGCTGCAATAGAATGAGGCCCCTAAGTGTTCACTAATTGCCCAAATAAGGACCTCAGTTGGCAGTGGGTCCATGTCTAATCATGGCTTTACTGCCCCTGACTAATTTATGATGGAGGTGGGAAAGCAGTGAGGCTAAGACATCCTTCCATCCTGCCTAATTAAATGCTCTTCCCATCTCAAAATACACCATTAAAGAGCCTGTAAAATTGCACCAACTTACTGCCCAGGACGTCAAAGTTGCCTTTGCCATTGTCTGTGATTAACATGCAACTTTTTTTTTCCAAACAATAAACAATATAGACATCCCTTTAAAAACTTTTGCATGATATATTGTCAGGGAAACTTCAGCCAATATTACATAACTCCTTAATTCTACCCAAATTCTTAAGAAGTAGTTCCACAACATTATATTTCTATTAACCTCATAACTGTAACAATATCTTGAAATGACAGAACAGACATGATAGACAAAATTATACTATAGCGTGCAAAGATATTGTACATTATTTTTGATATGTGAATGGATAGTCAATGGATGTAATGCAAAATTTTAATATTGGAATATAAACTTGCAAGCCTAGAGATCTGAAATAACAGTATTGGAAACAAAACAATGTTGGACTTCAGCTCTGTGAGAGAGTCTACCATTAATTTATTAAACTGTCTACCCTTCTTTATTTTGGATGTTGACAGATGTACTGTGTGTTTCCTAGAATTTCCTTTATGGAATTTTGATAATCCTGTAAGGTTGCACAGGCTAATAAAAGCTATCCCTTTAAAAGAAGTACGCTTGCAGAATTTGCAGTTATCTGCCTGAAAGCACTATATAAAAGTAGCTGTTAATGAATGCACTCATACCAATCGCTTACTTACTGAACACACAACTTGAGAGAATGATTGATTACGTCTCCTGATTCCAAAATTATTTTGTTTTAATTCAGCTAAGAGCAACATAGTGCTTAAAAAAATAAATCAACTTTGTATTCTCGTAGCCTTACTCCATGTACATAGTCAGAGATGAATCGGTGACAGGTGAATGCTGAGCAGGGTGTTTGGTTTTTCATCATCAATAGCAGACAGAGTAAGAGGAAAGGGCAACTTTTGTTTGCTATGTTGCTTTCCCCAAGTATGTCTTTGTTATAAAATTACAATTGCCAATTCAAGCTATCACTGTGACTGTCAAAAAGGATTTATTCTATAACTACACAAGCAAACACAGTAACTTCTCAAAGCTTCAGGACTTAACAACCTGTCTTTTTTTAGAAACAGAATGGCACAATCACAGAAAAGTACTGTGAAGCATCAAAGTTTTTTTTTTGAATTTTGGTTATTGTGCACTCAAGCAGCTTTAATGGGCTTGAATGTACCTGTCAACAGCTCGATTTTATATATAGAATGAACAACTCCTGACAGGTGCTGGGAGAGCTAAGCTGCTGCTTTAGCATGTGTCATATCCTCCAGGAGTGCAAGCCCTCAAATTAGCTCCTTCTGAGATTGCAGGGCAATGTAAGGCTGGCAGAACGGGGAATGTTTCAATATAAAATCGCACAGATTAACCCTTCAAATGCTGCCATCACATTTAGTCACCGGGGCTTCCTCAGGCCCTGATTATTTGAACGACTCTTATCCTGGATTTTAAAACAAAAGCAGGTTAGTATTTAATACATGCAAGTTCCTGGATAAAACCATAAGCATTTGCAGTACCAGCAATAAATTAATTAATAAGCAGTTCTCAGATATATTAAGGAAAGGAAATGTCACGTCCAGTCCAAACTTCAATAATCAAACATTGACTGCTGAGTACAAATCTAGCCCCTAAAATGTCTTTGCCTCGAACGACATTGGTCAAGATTTCCTCATGTTGACTGAAGTATAAATGCTTCCATCTGTTCATTGACCTTGTTGCTGGCACAAAGAGATTTGTCAGGTTCAGATCTTTTGCACAATTACCAGTGATGGCCCATTGGAGACCTGCCAGTGTTAGGACATAGGCGTCAGCAGGCAGAGGTAGGCACGCTGTCTCTGGTTGACCATGTTCTGCGAAACAATCACATGACTTCCTGCCTCCAACTGCTCCACCTTGCACATTCGTGCCATTGGCCATCAAACCTTCCACTCACATTGTAGTGCCTATCTGAACAGCCAATGGGCTTGGGAAATCTGAGACAAAGACAGGAGCTGCTGGAGAAACTCAGCAGATCTGTGGAGAGAGGAGCAGAGTTAACATTTCAGGTCCAGTATCACTTCTTCAGAAACCCAATTGTAAGACGGTTTGTTGTAAACCAAGTAGCCTTTTGACCTATCCAGCCTACTTAGAGTTGATAAAAGTTCAAAGAAAGCCAAAAAGAAACATTTTTGAATGCCCCGTGATCTTTCCCTAAGTTTGCTTGGAGCAATATGCTGAAGGTTAATTACTGGAGATGCCAAGACAACTCTGGAAGATTGATAACTGTTGGCAGAAGCTCCAAGCTTTATTGGCAGCTTAAAAAGGGCAAGAAGCAAAGGAGACACGACAGAAAATGAGATACCAGCTGGATGAGTGGCAAGATACTGAAATGAAAATTCCTCTTAATAGTGACAGTGATTGGATTCTAGCACAGAATGTAAAAGACCATGAAAGAGTATTGGAAAAAAATACATGAAGTGGTCAACCCAAATCAATTCTCAGATCTAATTCAATTACAATGAAAGGCTGAGTTATAGATTCATAGAGTCATAGAGTCATACAGCATGGAAACAGACCCTCTGGTTCAACTCGTCTATGCCAACCAGATTTCCCAAACCAAACTAGCCCCAGTTGCCTGCATTTGTTTCATACTCCTCTAAACCTTTCCTACCCATGTACCTATTCAAATGCTTTTTAAATGTTATAACTCTACCTGCTTCTATTATTTCCTCTGGCAGTTTATTCCAAATACAAACAATACTCTGTGAGAAAAAAGTTGCCCCTCAGATCCCTTTTAAATCTTTTCCCCTTACCTTAAAAATATACCCCTCGTATACCCCCACTCTAGGGAAAGGGCTTTTGCTATGCATCTTATCTATGCCCCTTAATGATTTTCTAAAACCTCTATAAGGCCACCACTCAACCTTCTACACTCCAGTGAAAAAAGTCTCAGCTTTACCAGGCTGTGATTATAACTCAATAGTATCTATTCCCAGCAACACCTTGGTAAATCTTTATGAACCCTTTCCAGTTTAATAATATCCGTCCTATATCAAGACAACTAGAACAGTACACAGTACTCCAAAAGTGGCCTCAACAACATCTGTACAACCTCAACTTGACTTCCCAACTCCTATACCCATGCTCTGCGCAATGAAAGCAAGTGTGCTAAATGCTTTCTTAATGACCCTGTCTACCTATAATGCAACTGTCAAAGAAATATGCACTTGAATGCCTTGGCCTCTCTGTTAAACAACACTACCCAGGGCCCTGAAGACAGTAAGGACTGCAGTTATGGGAAGCTAGTCTCAATAAATGCAGAGCTGGAAAAGCACAGCAGGTCAGACAGCATCCGAGGAGCAGGAAGGTCAATATTCCAGGCTGAAACCCTTCATCAGGACACTACCCATGGCCCTACCATTAACTGTATAAGTCCTGTCTTTGTGCGTTTTACCAAAACACAACACCTCGCTTTTATCCAAATTCAACTCAATCTACCACTCCTCAGCCCATTGACCCAATTGATCAAGATCCCTTTGTAATCTTAGATAAACTTAGACCTAACTAAAGGTTTACTAGTTCTGATTAATTATGAGGTCCATTACATGTTTTTTCTGGAAATAAAGAATCCTTCACCTGCATACTCCTGCTCTTCAGCCAACAAGGGTTAATGATCAGTGACTCTTCGTGGATAGATGCACGAGTTGGAAGAGCAAAGACAGGAAGAGAACTGTAGTGAATAAAACAAAACAAGAAATCTCCACTCAGTCAACCAGTGTTGTGATATGATATCCCAAAGTGGATCTATTGAAAACCACTGCTTTTTATTAAGTTCTACGGTTTTTGTACTTGTTATGGCAAAATTAATAAATTCTGTAAAACTTGTAAGAACTTGTGAGCTGAGTTCTGCTCTAGCTTTCAGAGGGAGCAGATATATCTGTATCGGTTCCCTAAGGACCTGGTAATTATGCCTGAACAATTATAGTTATACTTATTGCCATCTATAATAAACCTAATTGTTATTGAAGAACAGTTCCTCTACAATGATATAATCATTAATCATTAGATAGAACAAAGACAAAGCAAATGCAATGGAGAATTTGTGATTGTGAACTACCTCAAACAATCCTTACCCAGTAACACATATTGGTACAGTGAGCAAACGCCATGAAGTGCCAGGAGCTTAGGAATAGGAGCAGACCATTCAGCCCCTCACGCCTATTCCACCAATTAATGTGATCATGGCTGATCTGTGACCAAACTCCATATCTCTGCCTTTGACCATTTATCCCTTAATAGCTTAGCTGAAAAAAAATTATCTCATCTCAGATTTAAAACAGTCACCTGATCCTGTATCCACATTTGAGGAAGAGAGTTCCAAGCATCCACCACCTTTTGTGTAGAGAAGTGGTTCCTAACATCTCTCCTGAACATTCAGTCCCTAATCTCTGACTATGCCGCTAGTTCTAAATTACCCAAACTGTGAAAAGAGTTTATAGAGTCATAAAGCTGCACGGCACAGAAACTTCATTTATCCTGTCTTTCGTTGTTAATATCCTGAAGACTTCAATCAAATTACTCCTTAACTTTCTGTATTCTAGAGAAAACAGGCATAATTTGTATAATCTTTTCTCATAACTTAATCCCTGAAATCCAGGTTTTATTCTTGTAAACCTGGGTTGTACTCCTTCCAAGGCCAACATGTCCTTCCTAAAGCGTGATGCCCAGATATACTCCAAGTCATTGTTTGATTGATTGATCTAGTGTCATGTGTACCAAAGTATGGTGAAAAGCTTTGTTTACAAGCAGTACAGGTACATCATAGTAAGCAAGGATGTACAGATCAAAAAACCTTAGAAGCATACAGGTTACGTTGGACAGGGTGTGCGCTAGGTGAGTTCAACATTAGCGAGATCAGCATTATTTGAGTGCTACAGAAGCCATTCATCAGTCTGATAATGGCCAGGAAGAAGCTGTTCCTGAACCTGTTGGTGCGTGTGTTCAGGCTTCTGTATCTTCTGCCTGACGGAAGAGGTTGTGGGATGTCATTACTGGGGTACGATGGGTCTTTGATGATGTTGGCAGCCTTTCCGCGGCAGTGAGTCATGTAAATGGAGTCCATGGATGGAAGGTTGGTTTCCGTGATGGTCTGGGCTGTGCACACCACCTTCTGTAGTTTCTTACAGTCCTGGGCAGAGCAGTGGGGTCTAATCAGGTTTTTTTTTATAATCAGAAGTGGTCATATGGTGAATTATCACCATATCTAGAAATAACTAATTCACAGGTTGAACTCCATGAAGACTGCGGAGTAAAGAAATTATGCCAAATGTTCCTGGATTATTAGAAGCACCTACTTGGCCTCTAGCTTCATTGACTATCATTAAGGTCAATGTATAGTCTATGTTAGCAATTTTGTGTCACACAATGATTAGCTTCAATATTCATGACAATGAGTCAATTCATTCAATTATATCATCTGCTTCAAGTTGTTTCAAATCCTGTAACCTTGAAGTAGTCACAAATGGCAACTGTCCCAAATTTTGCAAAACTTGTAGAATTAACCTGTTGGCACAAGGAATGTTTTAATATTCTTAACATTTTCCATATCATCTAGGCACACAAATTTATTACTAAGGAGCAATAAGTCATTCGATAATGTGAACAAGAATACACAAGCTCTTTTTTTAAGTGATTATGATATTATTGATGGGAACATACAGAACTAATCAATGACTATTTCATGAGCCATGCAATGTAGAAAAGTCATTGTTAGCAATGAGGCAAAAAATATCTATTCTAATGTTTTGAAATGGATCAGGTTAGAATGTAAATGTGCATGACAGACCATTCTTTAAAAACATGTTATGAAAATATAAATAGCTGGATTGCTTTTTTATCAAGTGGGCATATTTTATTTGCTATAACATGCTGCTTGGAGACAAATCCTTCATGCATCTGTCTTCAAGGGAGTTAATGCTCTTCCTTAAAATTAGCTCAAAGAATGTCTTACCATCATATTAATTCAGCTGTTAGTACAGCAAACTTTGTTTCAATCAGGACCTTGTGAAGCAGCACACTCGATAAACCAGCAAAAATTATACCCCCCAATACCGCGAAGATTACTATATTATTCTGTCCAGTTGTTACAGTTGTTTCATTTATTTATCTCAATATAAATGTACTTGTTCAATCGAAAAGCCACATGAAATAACAACAGTTGATTCAATTTTGAATGAATTTTTCCTCAAATACCACAATCTCTTGCGTTGTCTGAGTATTCAGTTGTGGATGTGAGTGTGAATGTTCTCTGCCCATAAATTTTATTTAAGGCAAAGTTGCATTATTACTTACATAATTTATGCTGTAAATAAAGTATATCAAAGATGTATACACCCCTTGTTTTACTTTTCTATTTCTTGGTGTGTATTTTTACATTGATCATATGGACCTCTTGATCAACCAGAATATTTGATCAACCTGCACACCTCTGGTCCTATCAATGCTGCATCATTAACATAAGTTCCTAGGTTTCTGCTACTGAAAGAAGACTTCTAAATGTTATTATTTTAGTTGACTCTGTTTTATTTTAAATCCACATGTTCACAGATGTTATGATAAATCTCTAGAGTAGGTGGGACTTGAAACTTTTTGTCCTAGAGGTAAGAATTCCAGCAATGCACCACAAGAGCCCTTTGACCCTACTTACTGTTTGGCTTACTAAGTTAACTTAAAAACGATCATGAGAAAATCTGATTATCATATAAAGGAAGCTGTGCTGATTGGGAAATGTAAGTTGAAAACCAGGTCAGAGAACTTGTAGGTTTGCAATTTGCATATTTAAGCAGCTATATTTAAGTAGGCATGTGAATCTCTAACATCTTTACAGAACTGCTTAAGGTCTTGTTTATCAATGAAGTGGATGCAGCACTTCCTCCAACACCCAAATTTTTAATATTTTGGTACGAGAAATTGACAGCCGACCATTTATAATTCACCTTCTTTGAACCGTTATAACAGTACCAATAGAGTCAGTGTACTTGTGCTGCTGGATCATGTGAGTTTGTTGGTGGTGTGGGCTTTAGTTGGATATCATAATTTGAACATCATTTAGGTGAATTAATGACTCACTGTTAGCCTCACTGTTGGCTAAATTTCAACTATTCCTCTTCCCCAGTTATAGTGACAACATTTCACTGGAGCTTTCTCTTACAACGCAAAATTCTAGCTACATTTTGATGAGTTTTTTTAATGACGTTGTAATTTTTTTATATCTCAAAGGATGAGGAATTGAGTTTTAGATAGGGTGGAGAAGTTGAGGCTGTTAATCTTTGAGAAGTTGGAGGAGATTTGGTGCACATGTTCAAAGTCATAAGGGTTCTGATCAAAGCATGGAGAGAGAAATGATTCCCTTGGAGAAAAGGTTGAGAACCAAAGTATATGGATTTATATAATTGTTAAAACAACTAGGACGACATGAGGAAAAACCTTTTATATAGTGAGTGGTTAGAATCTAGAATGCAACTTCTAAAACATTGCTGAAGGCAAAATCAAAAAGGAATTAGCTAAGCACAGGAAGAGAAAAAGAATGCATGTCATGAGGAAAGGACAGGGAAATGCAACAAGCTTAGTTGTCTTTGCAGATAGCAAGTACAGACACAATTGACTGAATAGCCTCCCATTATGCTGTCCTCTTCTGTGGTTCTGTACAGCAACAAAGGCACCTCTGGCAAAATTGGGAGAAACTGCTAATTTCACAGACTTGAATTGATTACCCACACTGAGTCTTAAGATGTTGATTGACTACCCTCTACTTTGAAGCTGCATAATCATCAACTCTCCAACTTCCCATCCCTCTACAAACCCCATTAGGGAAATTGTGTCCCAAGTAACTCTAGTCCCAGATCCAAGCTGTTTAAAACTTTAGCCCTTTTTTCCCTCAAAGAAGCTTGGACAAAATACTTTGATGTTCAAGTCAGTTATATCCCTGTGCTATACTACTGTATTGAGTATTGCTGAATAAAAAGAGACAGGCTGTAGAAACTTTTTCCTTTGCATTTGTTCAGACAGACACAAAAACTGAACACTCTTCCCTCTTACATTTAGTATTTTTTCATTTATCCTGAAGAATGTATTATTGAAAGTTTTAACAGCTTGTCTGCGTTTTTTTGGCATAATGCTGAGCACATATCTGACACAATGGATTCAGAAATAAGAAAATAGAATATGGACTATCACTGGCTTTTACCATTTTTTTTGCTAGCCATATTACCAACATTGTCTCTTGTGCTTAATTTAGAAGGAAAGGTGCAAGTCAATTCATTTTAACCAATCCTGCCTTATTTTCCCACTGTTGCTGCCACAATAGTGCAGGGTGATTGCCAATGGAAGTTTCAGCTTACTGGATGTCAGCTTCGTTGGAACTTCTGCATGGTTCCTATGTGGCTGCAATGTCTATATTTCTAATGGAAATGCACGATAAAGGGGCGTACAAATGAAACATTGGCAACTGAAGCCAGTTATGTGAGGGATTTTGCAAGAAAAATCACCTGCCAGGAAAAAAGATTGTTCAAAGAGAGTGAAATGTTTTCTGCATTATTAGGAGGTGTTGGAAATAATTTCAAATTTGGTGACACAAACAATTCATGCACTGAGAATTGTTGATGAAAATGCTTCTGTTTGCAAAGGTGGGCTGAATATGCATGCAATCAATCAGCCCCAGGACATTCCTGAATCCAGCTCCCTTGGTTTAGTCAAAGAATAGTTGGCCTCCTGATGATGCAAGTCTGCCTGTGCACTTCAATCTTAACTTCTGATAAGAGCAGGAGTCACTTGAGACTTACCGAGCAACAAAATGCCAAGTTGGTGACAGCTTTGTCCCCAGCAGGCATCTGAAATGAGCAAGAATCAAAAAGCTAATGCCACTGTAACCTTTAAACGATGAGATAGAGCATTACATATGCCACAAGCTGCATTGTCTATGCTGTAAGATAACAGGAATGAAATGCAATTTTACCTGGATTATATTCTCTCCATATAAGATGTGATGCAAATTCAAATTGTCATTGCTGCTTGCTTGTACATTGAGATGCAGAGAGCTGTTACTTCGAATATCCCTGTGATTAAAAAAGAACAAGAATGTCCTCAATAATAAGAAGGTTGAAGGGGTGCATTAATATTCAATGTCCTCACCCATAGTTACAAGGCAGGAATAGCCTCAATATAAAGCTAGTAACAATTCATTCCGAGAGGGAGAATGGGTAACGCAACCGGTCCCAAGGAAAGATCAATCTCTTTTCTCAGATTCATTTTTGAGATGTGAATATTGCTGGCAAGTTCAGTGTTTATTACCCATCCTGAATTGCCTTGGAGCAGGTATTTGTGACTTGACTACAAATGAGTGACTTGCAAGGCCATTTCAGAGGTCAGTTAAAAGTCAACCACACTGGGTTGGGACTGCAATCAGACATTGTTTCAGAAGGACATTTGGGAACTAAATAAGCTGTTAACAACAAACTGAGAGTTTCATGATTATTATGAATTATATTAGTACTTTATTCCAGACTCATCAAGTAATTAGTTTTGATTTTAGTGAAGTTCTGATAGACTCATCGAGTCATACAGCATGGAAACAGACCCTTCAGTCCAACTAGTCCATGGCAACATCTTCCCAAACTAAACTACTTCCACCTGCCTGTGTTTGGCTCCTATCCCTCCAAACCTTTCCTATTCATGTACCTATCCAAATGCCTTTTAAACGTTATAACTGAAGCTACATCCACCACTTCCTCTGGCAGTTCTTTCCACTCACGAACCACTCTCTGTGTAAAAACATTGTACCTCATGTCTTGTTTAAATGTTTTCTCCTCTGACCTTGAAAAATATGTCACCTAGTTTTGAACTCCCTCACCTTAGGGAAAAGGCTTTTGCTATTCACCTTATCTATGCATCTCTCATGATTTTATAAACCTCGATAAGGTCACACCTCAACCTCCTAGGCTCCAGTGATAAAAATCCTAGCCTATCTAGCCTATTTTCATACTTCAAACCCTCCATTCCTAGCAACAATCTGGTAAATCTTTTATGACTCCTCTCCACTTTAATAATATCATTCCTATAATAGGATGATCAGAACTGCACCCAGTACTCCAGGGGAGAACTCATGAACGTTCTGTACAACCTCAACATGACATCCCAATTCCTATACTCAATGGTCTGTGCAATGAAGGCAAGTGTGTTAAATACTTTCTTAAACTCCATGTCTACTTGTGACGCAAATTTCAAAAAATTATGTACCTGAACTCCTAGGTCTCTCTATTCTACAACAATACCCAGGGCCCTACCATTAACTGTATAAGTCCTACCCTTGTTTGTTTTACCAAAGTGCAATACCTCACATTTATCAAAATTAAACTCCATCTGCCACTCCTCAGCCCATTGACCCAATTGATCAAGATTGCTTTGTAAGCTTAGATAACCTTCTTAACTGTCCACTTTGACCACCAATTTTGATGTTATCCACAAACTTACTAAACTTCCTCCTATAGTCTCATGCAAATAATTTAAATAAATGACAAACAAAAGTGGACTCAGTCCTGATCCCTGCGGAGCACCACTGGTTACAGGCCTCCAGTCCAAAAAACAATCCTCCAACACCACTCTGTGTCTCCTACCATCAAGCCAATTTTGTATCCAATCAAAATTCATCATTAAAACTGGTCCAATGTCCCAGTAAACAGATGCAAGAATTCTAGCTTGCTGGCCTCCCAATTCACTCACCTCTTTTGCCGTTTTTAACTGTTTCAGTTGTCAAATGGGTCCAGATTCAGCCACCCATCTTAACAAGACAAGAATTTGGTGTGGCAGCTGTCAATTTGAGGGAGAAAGGTCAAGAAGTTGGCCAATCATTCTAACCAACTGCAACCCTCTCCCACTAACATTTAGTCCTACCTCCCAGGTTCTCAGGCTGGGTTTTGACAGGTGGTGCTCTAGACTGTGGAATTTATCCTTCAAGAAATTCCTGTGTACTTGCAAACAAAGTTGATTTTCCTGAAATATTTGTTGAAATGCTTAGAAAACAAGCTTGATGATTTTCACAATCACTTCTAGCGTGGCAAACTGGGTTAGCTCGGTCCACTGTTCATTATAGAACCCACAGGCAGTTTCTAAAAAGGGTATCAATTAACTGCAACCCTGAGTTTTACAAGTTGATGACATGCTAATAAGCTGTCCTCATATTTTCATCATGTTTGCAAACTTACTGAATTGTTGTGCTTTTACAATGAGTGCTTCATGAATGATAATCTCAGCCATTCAAGTTAGCATATTTCAAGATAAGCATACTTCAAAGAAACGATGTTAGATTGTTTGATCATTGAAAATGGGAAGATTATTTTAAATTATAATATATAGCATGTTGCTCCCTTAATAGCATGAGAAATTATTTGAACTGTAGGTTTTGATTTCATATCAAGGAAATGATCCAGCTTACCCCTGTCAGTACTGGGAAGCCACAACCAGATTATATGGTCATCAAACAATCAGTTGTGCTATGCTCAGCGAGCAGGAAGAGAGAAATCCCAAATTGTGTTTAAAACAATATTATCTTGCTTAATTTACCTTTTTTCTTAAATGAAAGCTTTCTGGATTGACATCATGGTTGCCATCAATCACATGATGTTGGTTAACCACAATTTATAGAAGGTTCTGCTCAGGAGTAACTAGGGGACAAAAGTTGACACATCCTCCTGGAATTTCATACTCATTGCATTTTACAAATATTCCAAAGGAATAATTGTCGAGTAATAGAATCACTTGTGGCCAATTTGCTATGACCAATTGCTGCCAACCTGCTGTGCTTCCTATGGTTTTTCTAGATGTTAGGCCAGGAAACATACACCACAAAGAGTCAAGTTTGTATTGAAACCGAAAGAATTGCGGATGCTGTAAATCAGAAATAAAAAAAAAGTTGCTGGAAAAGCTCAGCAGATCTGGCAGCATCTGAGATGAGAAACCAAAGTTAACATTTTGGGTCCGTTGACCCTTCCTCAGAATTGAAGGATCTCAGAACCCAGTTCTGAGGAAGGGTCACCGACCCAAAACGTTAACTCTGGTTTCTTTTTACAGATGCAGCCAGACCTGCTGTGCTTTTCCAGCAATTTCTGTTTTTGTTTCAAGTTTGTACTGAATCAGGTATCTGCAAGTTTATGATAATTCTTTACATTTACACACACAGCCTGTATTATATGCTTAAATAGACTAAAGCTACATTCCAATCAGAATTGACTGGCTGAATAACTTACTGTTTGCTTGTGTAACAGATCAATCGCCAGCCAATGGAACGTGCAGAGAATAAGAATAAGAAACATTTTGAGATGTCATCCACAGTCTTAAAAGTAGAGTGCCTGAAATAACTTTTCAGACGCTGGCATCCCATCACCAATCATTCTTTATTTATAAATGCATGGTCTTTGACAATAACACTGACATTCATCCTTTATGTCAGCCAAAGCTCCCTGATTTACAGCCCCAATCAGAAAACTTATATTCGATGAGGTTAAGTTAGCTGACCTAAATGCAGTCAATACCAGTGCCTTTCTGGGATCTGTAACAATAATACATCTCCTTTTTGCCTTTTTAAGAGTAGGAAATGTGTTCTAATAAAAATGTACAAAGATATAGCGGTGGTTTACACTTTGGTGGATGCACAATATGTCTAGATCTCATCCACAATTATCATGTCGTAGCTGTGCAGCTTCCCTCTTTGGTGTGCTGTCTTTTGTTGTAGATAGGCATGTATCATACATAATGAATGTTTGGTTGTTGTCAGCTTTCAGCATCAGAGTTATCAGCGTACAAGACTGAGGGCTCTTGCAGCGCAGTGATAGTGTCTCTACCTCTGACCCAGAAGGCTCAAACTCTGATGCTTTGTCCTGGTTCAAGTTGGGTTAACTGAATGCTTGTTGATCATGGTCCTGTACCATTTTCTGTCTTCCTTCTAACAATGCATCATGCACATGTGGCTGCATGGTAAAAGTGTGCAATAGAAGGAATTTGTAAACTTTTATCCCAAACGTGTCAGTTGCTGCAAAGGCTGACCATTTTCTTGAGGGGTAATGCATAAATTTAACAGAGCTAGCTAAAAAACCTTGGCAGTAGCTTTGCATTAAACGGTCACGGACTTCATTGTATGAACAGCGCATTCTGCAAGATCATTAGCCTGAGATTGGTGAGGAGAAGAGATAATGTACTCAATATCTCACTTTCTCACATACCTTAGATGGGTGCATTATTGTTCTGTAAAAGTTGTTGGACGCAAATTGTTGATGAACATGAAATATAGTGAATTTGGCAGCTGGACATGGAAAATATAGTTGCAATTTTGATCTAAGGCTCAAAAGAAATTATATGGGGAATGAAAGGTTCTCTCAATTGTTGATGCTAATGAAGTTAAAGTATTTCACATGACTTGGCCTGTTGATCCATGTCCTTATTGATGTAAGGCCAATAGATGAATTCCAATGTCAACTTTTTCTTCTGTGCCCACATGACCTGTACGCATTTGCTGAGCATATATCAGCATGCAATTTGTGAAATAATTTCTGATGCACCTTTAAGAGTTATGTTCTTGGAAAGAGTCCTAGTTTATCACTGATTAACCAAAAGGAACATGCTTCCTCTGGGACCTGTTGAATGTGTTCAGGTCTCTTACTGATGATGATCTTTGAGCTGTTGCAGCTGGTCATCATCAGATATAACTTAAAGTACTGCAGAAGCTAGAAATCTGAAACAAAGACAGAATTGGCTGGAGAATTCAATACATCTGGCAGAATCTGTGGTCTTGGTGATACTGCCTGTAATCTCAGAGGGTGGGAATTTTTGCTCCACTGGGGAGTTAGGTCTGTGGAAGACCTGGGTTGCCCACTTGTGTGCCTTCTTGCGTTTAAATAGAATTGGGCACCTCCTGGTGACGAGAGTTTCACACTGGTTCTCCCATGAGGAGGAGTGAACCTGCATCATATGAACTAAATTCCCACCAAGTATGTCTTTTTATCCCTTCAGAGAAGGATGAGAAAGAGTTAACAAATGAAAAATGTGAAATTGTTTTATAAAGTAA